AAACCCTTGAACCGATTTCCTTCCAAAACCCTTCAAATTAGTGATTTGAAACTTTATTATTGAAGTTTTGAAGCACAAGAGTTCGATTCAGGCCTTGTCCAGACAATTCTTTCGATAGATAGCTGATGACGATCGAAGTCTGCAACCTACCTGCGTGCGACTGCTTTGCAAGGTAAACATTGGAGTCGTACTTTTCCGTATCTCAGTTCACCCGACACTCACCACTCATGATTCAAGAATCAATCTTTATGTTTCTCTAAAAAGAGGTAAAACACCCTGATTACTCTTTCTATCTCTCTTTATCTGTGTGTGCTTTCAATAACAGGACCAAACCTATTTGATTTTGGATTTTACGGATCAAGCAGGACCAAACCTACAACCATAGATTTATGCAGGTATTTTTTGTCCTTTTGGTATCCATCTTGATTTCCTTTGCCCTCTCTTAAAGTTAATTTCACCCATGTTTTCTTGCAAACAGATGGAGAGGGATCTGATGAACCCATGTTTTGACCCATAATTTCTGAAATTAGATGGAGATGGATTCGATTAACCCACATTTGCTACCACCATCTTCACCTTCTCTTCTTTCTACTTCTTGCCCAATATTTCTGGCCCATCTCTCCTTTTTTATTTGTAGGATTTTTTTTTGTTTTTTTTTTTTGTAAAATGGTTCTAGGTACATGTAGTTCTTGAGATGGTTCTTCTTGCTCTACCTCTAAATCTACTCTCATGTAAGAAGAAAAAAATGGAATCAAAACCTTTGCAACCAACGTAAGTCACTATTAATATGTTTGTGCGTGTGATGTGACTGTTTGTGTGTGGAATTTAGTGTTTCTTTTTTACCTCCATATTACACACACCCCACAAGTTTGATATAATGAAGGTTTTAACTTCTTTATGAATATTCAACAGGGTGTAAATGTGAGCTATGTCAAAGTTCTTTATGTATTCCTTATGAACCCCCTTCTATTGATTTCTTATTTTTGTTGTAGAAACATACCCACTTTCACTGGACATGTTTTCAAAATAAGTAATTTGTTGAATTTTTGGTATTTGTTTATCATGAATTCATCAGCCCGTGAACTGAATGAGTGGAGAATGTCACTGAAGTAGTTGTTATTATTCATCAAACTCAAGAACAATTTTTTGGATGATGTTGTCATTGTGAAACCCCTGTTATAGCTTCATCACTGAATTTCAAACCTCTCTTGACCCTAATCTCTCTCTCTCTCTCTCTCTCTCTCTCTCTCTCTTAGTTCTTCATAATCATTCATCGTCAAAATGCTTTGATATTTTCAGTTTTAATTTCAATTTTAGGTATGCCAGTGGCCTCATATTCAGGTAGCCAGGATGCAATATGTACAAGTGTGTGTGGAGAGGGTGGATCAAAGATATGCTCAAGTGAATCACAAAACCACTCACTTCGAACCACCAGTATGATTTTCAACCATTAAAATCATTAGTTTTCCATTATATGCTTCTTATTTTTTTTATGTGTGTATGTATGTAATTAGGTGTTAGACTTTAAAAGAGATGACTTTCAAAAAGGAGAAAGGGTAAGCCAAGGAAACACCATGAGATAAGAACAAAGGCTTTTGGTAACTGGTTCTGAATTTCCAATGTTATGATTTAGCACCTGATTTAGAATAATATTTTATTTGTATATTTGGAAGTATTTGGTTGCTTTTTTAATAAAAGAAATGCAGCATTTCGTTTGCATATTGACTCACCTGCTGCCATGACATAGCTTAAGATTTAGAAGTTTATGTATGTGTTCGAGATTGATCTTGGTGTTATTTTTAAATTAGAAGTCTTACATTTATATTGCTCATAACTGTAATGGAAGTCGATATGTATGGTCTCTAGGTATGTTATTATTTCAATATATAATGTTTCAGTTAAAGGAAGTTGATTTGTATTTACTGATGGCAGTCATACACCTTTTTTGTTTCTTTGAGATATTACAGCTAGAATCAAGTTCAATTTTGTTATAATTTAAAAAGGTTTTTTAGTGTGTAAATATTCTACTAAATTAACTAGATTGACTATTTGTGAGGGAATGAAAAACTTATATAACTAAAATTGATATCTTAATTATCTACTTTAAAAAGGGTAGTTTTGGAATATATGAAATTATAATGTTTTAATCGGTAACGTTTTATTTAAAGTGAAGTGCAAGTGCTTATTTTAGTTGAATTTGCTGAGATTGGTTACCAGATTTGTTAAAATTTCAATGTTAATATGTCAAATATGACTTTTTAATAAATTAAAAGTAATACTAAAAATTAAGACATTTAGTGTTTTTTACTAATATAATTTAAAATACTTTTTGAAATGAATACAAGTTAGACTTGAACTTTATCACTTCTATCTAATGTGTTAGTTGTATTAAAATGATTTGGAAAGCTTGATTTGTTGTTAGGCATGAAACAAATGCAACGTAGTTTTATTTATTTCTATATTCTAACATTCTACTTTCTTCAAAGCTTTTGTATATTGTATAGATTTATTATCTCATGATGTAAGTAAAAAATCCGTAAATTTTTTTATTTGAAAGGGTTGGTGTTTTTGCGTCTTGCCTCATTGCAAGAATGTAAAGTTTTGTTATGAAAATGTTCGTTTGACTATCGTGGTCGGTCATAGCATTTGTTGAATTTATTGGTAATGTGTGTTTTACAAATTAAACACTTACATGCTACAGATTTATTCAAGTTCCAAAAAGTTGCAATAAATCCATGTATATTTTCACAAAGAAATTATATTTTGGTCTAAAACGTCAAATCGTGTTACAACAATTAATCATTATTTAACAGTCGTATCAACTACCAAGAAACCCTCATTTAGTCTCTCTACAAGATGCTTACTAGCCTCGCTATAAACCGCCCCATGGCTCGTGCTAGGGGGCTCGCTACCATGAACTTGCTACCTGCTTAGCGAGAAGTGAGAGAGATGAAGGCTCTTACTTGATTGGTTGTTGGAATTTTTGACCACCATTAACCTTTTGATTTATGCTAGGGGTGCTACCACTCCGTATCAAATGCTAAGGAAAAGTGCTAGCTAGTGGGCAGGCAAAAAAATAACATAACAGTAAAAAAACGATGTGGCAAGGTGCTACGAGTGCTTCCATTCCCTCCAGCCTAAGAAAAAGTCGTTGAAGTTTACCATGAAATTACAACCATTAAATAATTGGTCAAACACCAAATGGAAACGAACTTTTCTAAATCATTATGAAAGCTATCGTTATTTGATTTTCAATGACCACTAACTAATTAATATATTATAATCGACAAATCTTATCAATTAAATTCAATGCTCTAACAGATAAGTAATCAAATGTTCAATAAATATCAAACATAAGATTTCTATCAATGAAAATAGTTTGTTAAAACTAAACATATTACAAACCGAAATGTTTTTAAAGAGCTTCGTTAGTCAAAATATAAACACTAATTTTACAAAAAAAAAAAAAAAGTTAGAGGTTATAACATAAAAAAATAAATTCAATGTTATTCTTGCATTTTGGTTTACTAAGAGGGTGTTTGGATAAACTTAAAAAAGAGTTTTTTTTTTTTTTAAAATTATTATCGGTTCCACACTTGTATAAGTTAAATGAGTGTTTGGATAGACTGTTTTTTAAAAACAACTTATAGCGGTGTGGAACCGGAGATAAGTCATTTTTGATAAGGTACTAACCCGAACTTATAAAAACTCCTTATAACTGATAACTGTCCAACATTTCAAAGAATCATTTTTTTGGTCATTTTTGCCAAACATTAAAATAGTTTATCAACTTATAGCGTTTTGACATTGGATAAAGCTAATCCAAACACTTTTTTAAAAACTCTGACAATAAACTATAAGTTAAAAAGTTCTTATCATTTTAAATAAGCTTAACAAAACACCCTAAACATAATTCCAATGGTGTATCATGTGACAATATAAATATATTAGTGAATCTTGAAAAAAAAAAGTTTCAACAATGAAAAAGTTTATACCTCAAATGTGGTGTATAAAGAAGTGTTGCACGATTAATTATGGACAGTTAACCATTAGTAATGGCACGTGCGTTATGATAATTGGACGATTAAAATCACACAAAGTTGTTATTAAAAATCTTAATAAGTTTCCGTCTTCGATTATCAAGTTGCGGTTAACTATAAGTATGAGAGCATTAACTGATCCATGGTTCTCGGACTTTCTATTACGTGTCGATGATGGAGTTGAAGAAACGGTGCACAAAAACTTTATTCGTATCCCCGATGATATGGTAATTCCCTTCATTGAAAAAGAAAAGTCATTGCATCCCCGAAATAGCTGTTGGTCAACATACTGGAAAGAGGGTATTTTTGCCAAGGATTTCTCTAAATCCGTCTGAAGATGACATGTTCCCGTTCAAGCTGAAGAGAAAGCAATTTCCAATTCGATTATGTTTTGCCATGACAATTAATAAAGCTCAGGGACAAACAATTCCAAATGTAGGAATTTATCTTCCAGAATTGGTTTTCTCGCATTGCCAACTTTATGTGGCATTATCCAGAGAGATATCACGTGCCACTACAAAAATATTGGTGAATCCATGATGAACAATTCAACGGTAGTGAAGTCTTATACGTCAAATGTCGTGTATAAAGAAGTGTTGCACGATCAATAACGATCAGCCAATCATGTGTTCATATGCATTTGTAAAGAATCCCAACTTTTCATTTTTAATTATTTCTGATTTCGTTTCTGTTAGCATGACTCTTATTGATAATTGTTTATGTGTAGTATACTATTTGCGCAAAAACACTAATCCTATATACGAACTCATTTCTGAAAAAAAAAATCGCACCCGGCGCTTGGCGCGGGTAGACGGCTAGTATATATATATATATATATATATATATATATATATATATATATATATATATAAACACATTGCCTCTTTCTTGAAAATTAAAAGGTACAATAGGTAATACCTCATATACAATAATATTAAGCATATAATCACCGCATCGTATACGTATTACACTACACCGTATCACCTTACCCTAATCTCCTAAACACACAACAGCCGCCATCAAAAAAAATTCACATCCGTCTCCACCAAAGATGCAATCGACGCCTGGAAGTCCATCTTTTCCGTCAAACACAAGTAGCCCTAACCCTATCCCGCCGCCACGATCAACCACGATCAACGATTTGAGGGAACAACAAGTAAATTTGATCCGGGAATTCGGAGCTTTTAGTTCTTATTCTCGAAGATCTCTCCGGCCGGCCGTTAGTTCATCATCTGCCACGATGGGCCCATCTGAAGCTTCGGTGGCAAGATCGAATTTTTTATGCGCGTCACCACCAAAGTTTGATACCGATTTCAAGGTCGATTTCTTCCTTTTTTTTCTGCCTTCGATAGCCACAACTACTTGTTTGCTGCTACTAATTTGCGACTTGTTTGTTGTTCATATATGATATCTGTAAGAAGAGGAATGTGTTTGCTGTTCGTATATGGTCGATTTCTTCCTTTTTTTCTACCTTCGATAGCCACATCTACTTGTTTGCTGCTACTGATTTGCGACTTGTTTGTTGTTCATACATGATATATGTAAAAAAAGGAATGTGTTTGCTGTTCGTATATGATATCTATGTATCTTGAATTAGATGTTTGAATATGTGTTCTTAAGGCTTGTATGTATGATGGTTTTTTATCTGAGTTGGGATGGTTGGCCTTGCACGCAAGCTGTTTGATCAAATGCCTGAGAGGGATTGCATTAATTTTATCCCTAATTTCTCCCTCTTAAATCCAGGATGTAGCTGCTACTGGTAGACATACATGTATATGCAACATGTGGTCTGTACATCTACCAACGATTTGCAGGAGGGAAATTATAAACAGGACCACAAATCTTCATCTATGTTTTCATCTCATTTCTGCCAATTTGTTAACAGGTAATCTCTGTTTTCCTTTCTAGCTCTTCACTTAATAATAATTTCTGCCAATAATAATATGTTTTCATCTCATTTCCTTTCTGCCAATCTATTAACAGCTGTTCCCTGATCAGAAGAAGCATAGTAGCTGTTGTTGTTATTCCATCACCAGTTCCCATCCTTTATTACTACCAAAAAATGGTATAACTCTTCGTTATAATTCTTTGGTTCTTTGACTTTTTTGACTCTGCATACCAAAAGAAACCACACTTTGCTTTCGGGATCCATGAGCCATATTTCACCAACTTATGCTAATATTTTAAGTTATTTGCACAAAAGAAAAAATCTACCTGTATTGAACATCATAACATGCTCTTGGTGTTTTGCTTTATATTTTTCATATTTTGATATTCTTTGATTCTCTTTGATTCAACACAAAAAGAATAATTGGGTTTGTTCACTAATTTTTCCATATCTTATATTTCCTCAAGTTTTTTTTTTTAATTTTTATTTTCAATGTTTTCTTGTGTTTTAAAGGACATGGTGGTAGTGTCGCTTGCACCCTTCGACGATCCATCGCCATAGGTGTCATCATCGGAGCCATACGGTGTTGCCTTCAAACACTTTCTAGGTATTGTTCCTCTCTATTGGATTTTATATTTTTATCTCTTTTCCTTTCCTTGTTGTTTCCGCTGTAATCAATATGTTCCCTTCAATATACTTGAGAAGTTTCGTTTTTGATACAATATTCCAATTTAGATTCACGATTTTAGCCAGAAAATTTTCAATTAACCACTGATAGATAATTAATTTTGTCTATGATGTGGTGTCTCTGATTATGTATAATATATATAGAGGAGGTGAAGGATGGAAGAATGAGAATTTGGAAGGATTAGAGGAGTTATCTGTTAAAAAGGGGAATAACACGAACATTTGAAACACAACAATTAACGGTTCAATTTTTATTCATCATCTATTATAATTGATTATTTATAGAGTCAATCGACATAATGCTCATATAATGAAATTATAGTTGATTTGAAGACAGCTGGACACAATTTGAAAACTCATACGCTCCCATGCTTAAAGGTCAAATGGTTGGTGCATTTATACAAGTTTATATTTCCTTCTACATTTAAAATTGTTTCAAATTTTTTTTTTAGTAATTTTAAAATTTTATTTTCTTTGTTGATGCCTGGATTTCAGGTCATAAAACACACCTAGCACAAAATAACAAAGTTACAAATTTGATATTCTGAAACAGACTAAGAAACTACTCTCAAGTTTTAAATGTCAAATGAAAAGGTAACATCCAGATCTTAGCCTATGTCCTTACTCATGTTGATTTTTGTTCTTCTATTGTACTTTCCTTTTTTGTTTTCCTTTCATATCTGGTGGTTCTTGAGTGATTAATATCTTTACAACCCTCCCTCAAGGTTTCAAGTTCTCAACATGGCTGTAAGAGGAAAAATTTCAAATAGGTTATATTTATTTCTTATTTTCTTTTCTTTAAGTACATATACTAACAATTTTTCATTGATTTGCATGGGGAATACTGTCAAAGAGTCTGATATATACATCTATATTTGGGGATATCAAATGCAACTAGATAACTCATAACTTTATGGTGCTAATTCATCAACTTATGTTCATGGCTTATTAACTACCTAACAAAAAAATCCAACGGATTAACAGATGATGTTTATGTCGATTAACTGATGGGTCTTACCAACGTTTATAAGCTATTAACATATTTTTCATGCTACATGAGTGAAAAAGAACTTGACAACATCATTATGTTTTTAACTGCATGTCTTACTTTTTTTTACACTTCATATATGCTGTAAGATGAGAAACTGAAGATGTAGAGCTTCTTCAAACTACCCAGACCCTAGACAGGTTTGAAGCCATTTTCAGTATTTACATTGTTGTATTTATATAAATGTTAGATTTGTAACTTTTAAAGCTTAAAAGTTACTGACTTTTGAAAGTACTTCATGTTCTTAATGTACACTGTGTTCTTAATGTACATTGTGAGTGTGTGTGGCAAAATGCAACCCCCCAAGTGATAATTAACATAATAGACAATTTCATTCCATCCTTTGCAGGAATTATTACACTTGGATGAAGCCATTGGTATTAAATACAGAGGAATATGGACATCTCACATTTCAAAATTTCCAAATCCCTTTTGAGAAGTTTATGCCTCATTATACTTTTTAGTACCTGGACCAAAGGATTCATGTAAGTTCCATTTAAAGTTTGTTAGTTTCTTTGAGTATTGATCTCGATTTCAGGCGCTAAACCTCATTCTTGAGCCCAAAACTTTTCACCTTAATTTGAGAAAAGCTTACTTGACACTCAGATGAGAGTGACTTTTTTTTTGTGACATTAAATTTTTGGGTAAGTGTAGCAGTTCAAAATAAGAGACACTGAGATTTTAGAAACATCATAAATGGCCTCCTTTGTCAGTACTCATTCCCATATTAGTTTACTTCATTAATATATGATTCTATCTATGATGCTAACAAATTGAGATCTTGTTGCAGTAACGGTAAGCTTCTTAAGTGTCATGACGAAGTTTTAATGTTATTGATCTGGCTATAACCTCATTATTGGATAAGAGTTGTTGGTTTGCGATTTGTAATGTGTAAATCACTTAGTTAAAGTAGTTAACTTTCATTTGGATAGAATAATCTTTCTGCATGGCTTTGATTTCTCGCATCGTCAATTAAGACATCTTTGTTTAGGAGAATTCTTATAAGAAAATTGATATTTTTTTTTACCTTAGAGCTGTACGTAATAACCATATTTTGTGTTCTTATTTCCTAACATAATTTATTTATCTCCTGCACTATTTTTTTAGAATGTCTAATAAGGATTATATTTGTTGTATTATGGGTTTTCATGTTCTCCCCATGTGAGTTTCTAATTGAATGGTCTTTAATTTTGACATTAGATGATTAGCTTAAAACATTTAGGTTTGTGTTTCTTTAAATGTAAGGTATTAGCCACATTTTGTGTTTTAGATATGCTTACTGTTGTTTTCTTTTTTCCTTCCAAAACCTCAAAATGGTTGACTATTCACTTTAAAATGTCTATGTGAATGTGGTAGAGCATCTCAAAACTTTAATAAAAAATGTCACATATTATTTATTTTATGTATGATTTTGCTAGGTACAAGTTTTAATCGGAATACACACGGAAGGGTGTAATTGGTGCTATAAAAGAGAAAGTTTGAATATATTTAAATGATCGATCAAAATCTATACATGATTGTGTGGATTTTCTTGATAACGGATTTTATAATTATTCATGTTAACTTGACGTCGTAGTTTAGAAAAAAATTAATATTTTCACTCTTTTGTATTAATCATCACCACATAATAAGAGTACACAAAAATAACATTTGTTTTAAAGATATCTTAAAGTTAGATTTTGGAGTTGAGATAGATATAAGGTAGAAGGGTGGTAGTTTTAAAATGTAAAGAATAGGAACCGGTAAGTTCCAGTTCAAGAATTGTCGATTTTGCATTAGGTTTGGTTCCAAAAGTGGATAACCGATTTCAGTTTGCATTAGGTTTGGTTCCAAAAGTGGATAACCGATTTCAGTACTCTGACCTAATAACAATGAGTCCACTAATTTGTTATGTAAGTCTCACATATTTTAATTGTACTCAATAGGGCAAAACACTATTTTTGGTATAATATAGTTATAAAATCATCGTAATGAATTTCAACCAATTAGCCGATATCTAATTCTATTCCTATATGTCACCTAATCCGGCTAAAGTTCCCAACTATCTAATATAGTTATAAAGTCATCGTAATGGATTTCAACCAATTAACCAATATGTAATCCTATTCCTATATGTCACCTAATACGGCCAAAGTTCCCAACTATCTAATTTGCTTTGAAATGCACGAATTTACACAATATAATTAAACGAAACAATACATGTACATAAATGAAATTGCCGAATCAATTCATTTTTGTGTTAGTGTTTAATACATTCCAAATATATTCAAAATGGGTGTCGTAAAGATTATAAAACCTAAATTGTATTAATTTCGCATCACTCTTACCGATTATTAGAGCTCAAATGCATTAGTCCAAATGTAGGTGTTCATCTGCCAGAATCGGTATTCTCACATGGCCAATTTTATATGGCGTTGTCCAGAGGAATATCACGTGTCAATACCAATGTATTACTAAAGCCGGAAAAAAATGATGGAATCTACACATCACACGTTGTGTACAAAGAAGTTTTATGTGATTAACAAGGTACAATCAACAACTTATTATTTTGCAATTTCTTCAAATATGTATCTTAGATGCTCATTTGATGTTTAATGCAGGGGTAGCAGATGAAACAATATGATTGCAGATTGGTGTACTTTATATATTGGACATGTTATACATGTACAAAACTACATGATTGCAGATTGTTGTTATTTATATATTGTAAAATCAAGTATGAACTATTAGATGAATTCCAAATGTAGACTCAACTTCTGTCGTATTGTATGACTATGCACCTAGCAAGAAACTATCCGTTGAAATTAACTATTCAACACAAAATAGTCTACCAAATGGCCGCAATGAATAGCTCACGTCTAAAGGAAACTAATCATCACATTAAAACTATCTTCCGAAAGAAACACTTTGCCGCCCGACGCTGTTGAAATGAACTATTCGACACAAAATAGTCTACCAAATGGCCGCAATGAATAGCTCACGTCTAAAGGAAACTAATCATCACATTAAAACTATCTTCCGAAAGAAACTCTTTGCCGCCCGACGCTTAGCGCGGGTAAACGGCTAGTATATATATATATATATATATATATATATATATATATATATATATATATATATATATATATATATATATATATATATATATATATATATATATAGAGAGAGAGAGAGAGAGAGAGAGAGAGAGATAAAGAGAGATGTTAAAATGGGAACAATTATATAATTGAGAACGCGAGAACAAATTTGAGCCACATTTTTTTGCCGCAAAACCCTCATATGTACCGGTGCAACAAAGGAATGTAATATTCATATGCGAATATAAAGCAACTACATCGCAACCACCATTGTGTAATATATTTCTTTTTGCCGCAAAACCCTCAAACGTACCGACAGAGTTATTGGTGATGATGACAGGTATTCATATATAAATAAGTATATTCATGTATGATTAAGTATGTTTTTATTTTTAAGTGATTATTCATATATGAATATACTTATATATGAACTAGATGTGTCTCGCACAAAGCAGCGGCGATAAATAACTCTTTTGACGAATAGTTTTTTTACGGAGAAATAATTATTAGAATCTATTATTAAATATTATGTAATAAAAAATTACCACTTTTAATTAAAATAATTATGTTTAGAACTTATATTTATATTGTATGTATATACATTTGATGTAAATTAATTATTTTCGGTATCTAGTTTAATAAATATTAATTAATTTATATAGATGAATTTAATATTTTAAAATTGTCATTTAGCATTAAATTAAATTTCTTAATAACCTTCCTTATTACAAGTCTTTAAAAATTTGGCAAGTATTAATGATTTTGTTATGCATAATTGATATGTACAAAAAACTTTGCATCTTATACTTCTTAAAATTCAAGATATGACTAATATGTTTTATAATATAGTATAAGATATATGAATAGATACTTATTCATATATGAATATTATCTATTTCGTCATCCCGATACGCTGGAGTGTTTAAGCGGCAGATTTGAAATATGCTAGAATATACTTACCTTTATATTCACATATGAATATTACATTTATTCGCCGCGACGATACGCGGGAGGGTTTTGCGGCAAAAACAAATATGTGGCCTAAATTTGTTCTTGTATTTTCGATTTCATAATTGTTCTCATTTGAACCTTCCCGGTTATATATATATATATATTATATATATATATATATATATATATATATATATATATATATATATATATATATACTAGTAACGTATCCGCGCGATGCGGCGGCGGCGATTTGTTACATTCCGGTGATTAGTTTCCGTACGAAAGTTAGTGTTATTTTAGCGGTTGTCAAATTGTTTCCTTTCGATTTGTTTCATTCTGGCGATTTGTTCCTTTCGACGATCAGTTGTTTCTAGACGGGCAACAAATAGTAATTTTCGTCTATTACTCTTTATCTAGCAGCATCGCCAGATAGTTTTTAGGCGTCGGTTAGTTATATTTTTGTGTTTGATAGTTCGTTTCAACCTTCTGACGAATTGTTTCTTCGGCGATTAGTTTTCTTTAGGCATGTTTTTGTTTCAGGATAAAAAGCAAAGTATGTTGTTAATTTGCAATGTGACATCGTGCCAGGGCGGTAAATTGTTTATTTTCGGCAAGTAGTTTCTTCTCGAAGATTATGTTTCTCGGTTCCCCATTAATTCCATAATCAGTTTTTGGTCAGTTTAGTTCCGGTGGCGAACGCAGAAAAAAAGTATGAAGGTTGCACAAATTTTTTTAAGGGTGCACTGCTAAAAAAAACTTGTTTTCGTCATAAAATTCGTCACTAAAAGGGTTACACTGACATATTTACATTAAATTTACATTTATTACGAATTAATTTGACGAATTTTCAACGGATTTGTGACGGATTTTTGATGAATTTGTGACGGATTTATGGCGGATTTCGACGAATTTACATTAAATTTTGCACTTAACGGTAAAATTTGAGGGTTGCCTGTGCACCCCGGGACACCATGTAAATTCGCCTCTAGGTTCCGATCCGAAACCATTACATCCTAGCTCAGCGGTATCAGGTGTTGCCCTCCTTCCTTGAGGTTGAGGGTTCAAGCCGCGTCCAAGACATAAGTAGTATTAAAAGTAGTTTGGTAGAAGTAGGTTAATATTGACGTTTAAAAAAAACCACGTAACGTATTGTTAAATAACAATTATTATTAAAATATATTCATAGGCAGTATTGTTGTATTGATTAAAAATAAAAACATGTATTTTTTATAATAAATATAAATGTATATTTAAAGATGTATAATTAAGAATAATATGAAAATAAGTTATTGTTTTGTTGTTCGTTAAGAGTTAAGGCGTATTCGGCACGCAGCTTTTGGGGCTTCTAACTTCTAGCTTTTAAGAAAACGCTAGTAAAAAAGAAAAAGTTTCGTTCGGCGACAGGAACGTTTAGCTTTTAACCTAAACAAAACGCTCCAAAATTAAACGTTACCTGCTATCTGCTATCAGCTAGTTTTGCTGAATATGCTCTTAATTATTTATGCGGTTAAGTCCTATAAATGACTAAGCATAAAAATAAAAAGCTACTTTATTTTAAATGTTCATATTATAGTTTTCAAAACTAATATCAAGTAAAAGTTTCAAATTATTATATTTAATTACGTTTGCCAATTTTTTGTGAAAACTTAAAATGAAATTAAATGCATAATTCTTGGATTCTTCGAAACACATGCAAATGTTTTCCTTTTTATGTTTAGGTGCAAATTATATTTCAATATAAATATAAATATAAATATTATCACACAGTAATTTAACGTTTTCTAATCTAAAACTTCAAACTTTACAACAATTTTTTTATTCTAAATATGAGTTTTTGTGTTACACTTTTATATAAACGAATTCTTTTTAGCAATTTAACTGTCAATGTTTACTTTTAGAGTAGCTTAGTCTATTTTTTTCTTTTTCAATGTATGTCAGCCTAGCTGGTGGCTCTATGCACAACTACCTATAAATACAGCTACTTATGATTACAGATAAATTTCAAATCAC